ATAACTATTTAAGAACTCTTCACCCCAAATCCACAAAACATACATTTTCCAAGTATCACATCATACCTATTCTAAAAGTGACCACAAAATTGGAAGTAAATCACTCCTCAGCAATTGCATAGCATTTCACAGGTTTAAATGAAATATTGGTTGGCTGCTTGTTTATTTTTCTCCCTTATTCCTTCCTGTCTCCATTGTTAAGCACAATTATTGGCATAAAAGAGGTTTTTAATTCCCATTTTTAGACTGCATTCTAGCCTGGGCAATAGAGCAAGATTCCTGTTCTTTCTCCCTCTTCCTTTTATTTTCTCTTTTATTCCTTTTTTCTTTCTTTCTCTTTTTTTCTTCCTTTCTTTCTTTTTTCTCCTAAAAAAAAAAAAAATCAAACTTCTGCTCAGTGAAGGACATTTTTTTTTTCTTTTTTCAGTGCAGCAAACTAAGAAGACCTTTTTTTTTTTTGAGATGGGGTTTTGCTGTTGTTACCCAGGCTGGAGTGCAATGGCACAATCTTGGCTCACTGCAACCTCCGCCTTCTGGGTTCAAGCAATTCTCCTGCCTCAGCCTCCTGAGTAGCTGGGATTACAGGCGCGCAACACCATGCCCAGCTAATTTTTGTATTTTTAGTAGAGACGGGGTTTCAGTTTGTTGACCAGAATGGTCTCGATCTCTTGACCTTGTGATCCACCCGCCTCGGCCTCCCAAAGTGCTGGGATTATAGGCGTGAGCCACCACACCCGTCCAAGAAGACCTTTTTAAGAGAATGAAAAGACAGGCCACACACTGGGAGAAGATATCTGTAAATCACATATTTGATAAAGGAGTTATCTCTGGAATATATGAAGAGCTCTCAAAACTCAATAAAAATAGACAAAATATTTGAAAAAATATTTCACCAAAGAAGATAAGTGGATGGCAAATTAGCCCATAAAAAGATGCTCAAAGTCATTAGTTATCAGGGAGATGCAAAGTAAAGCTACAATTTTGGTACAGTTTGTACAATTATTAGAATGGTTAAAATGAAAAGGGCTGACAGTAGGGAGTGTCAGTGAGGAGGTGGAGGAACTACATGGCTGTTGGGAATGCAAAATGCTATGACCACCTTGGAAAACATGAGCATATATATCTAACATATGGCCCAGATGTTCCACTCTGAGATATTTACCCAAGAGAAGTGATAGCATGGAAAGACTGGTGCATGAATATTCACAGAAGCTCAATTTGTAATAGCCCCAGACTGGAAAGAACCCAAATACCCATGGATTGGTGAATGGGGCTGGGGGTGGGGGTGGGGCAGGGTTATGAAGAGGCAGAAGAAGAGTTTTGGGGATGATATGTTCATTTTCTTAATTGTGATGACTGTTTCACAGGTGTTTATATAGTCAAAACGTATCCAGTAGTATATAGCCAGTTATACTTTTTTTTTTTTTTGAGACAGAGTTTTGCCCTTGTTGCCCAGGCTGGAGTGCAATGGTGTGATCTTGGCTTACTGCAAATTCTGCCTCCCAGTTCTCCTGCCTCAGCCGGGTGTGTAGCTGGGATTACAGGCATGTGCCACCACGCCCGGCTAATTTTGTATTCTTAGTAGAGACAAGGTTTCACCACATTAGCCAGGCTAGTCTTAAACTCCTGACCTCAGGTGATCCACCTGCTTCAGCCACCCAAAGTGCTGGGATTACAGGCATGAGCCAACACACCCAGCCTCAGTTATACCTTAATAAACCTATTAAAAATAGGAATTAACCAAGAAGTCCAGTTTGTTGGAAAAAAGAAAGAAAGGACAGAACTAAAAACTGGAAGAAAATGGTGTACAAGATAGGAGGGAATTATGGGAGTTAAAGGGTTTGGGGATCCTGTATTATTTGAGGAAAAATTAAGGAATGTGAAAATATTAACTGTAGTCTTTGTTGAAAATCTATGTATAATACAAAGTTCAAGATTCAAAATAGAGGATCATGACCTCCATAGTGTAGAAGGAGAAAGAATGGCATAAGAAAACAAAAGTAGGATGGGTGTGATGGCTCATGCCTGTAAGCCCAGCATTTAGGGAAGCTGAGCGAGGTGGATCATGTGGTCAGGAGTTCAAGACCAGCCTGGCCAAGATGGTGAAACCCCATCTCTACTAAAAATACAAAAATTAGCCGGGTGTGGTGGTGGGTGCCTGTAATCTCAGCTACTTGGGAAGCTGAGAAAGAGAATTGTTTAAACCCAAGAAGCGGAGGTTGCAGTAAGCCGAGATTGCACCACTGCACTCCAGACTGGAGATAGAGCAAGACCCTGTCTCAAAAAAAAAAAAAAAAAAGGAAACAAAAATAGAACTTAGTCAATTCCAAAAGGCAAGAAAGAAAGACAATGAAACCCCTTCTCTACTAAAAATACAAAACGTTAGCTGGGCATGGTGGCGTGTGCCTGTAATCCCAGCTACTCAGGAGGCTGAGGCAGGAAAATTGCCTGAACCCAGAAGGCGGAGGTTGCGGTCAGCCGAGATCGTGCCATTGCACTCCAGCCTGGGTAACAAGAGCCTGGGTAACAAGAGCGAAATTCTGTCTCAAAAAAAAATAACAACAACAAAAAGAAAGACAATAAGGAAAGGGCCCCTGGTTTTATCTTTCTGTCCCAGCCCATGTGTCATTGCAGATGGGCAGATCTGCTGCTTTTGTGTCAGACTCAGGGCCTCGGCACTCACATCCAGCTGTGCCAGGTGCCGTCCCAGCTGTCAGCCCCGGGTGCCTGCCTGTCACACCTTGAAGTGATACTGTTGGAGAGCTCTTCCCTGCTCCTGGGAAGACTTTCCCAAAGCACATCACAGCCCCCCGAATGTCTTAGGCGCTTTCCACCTTCTCTGTTTCAGTTTTCCTTCCCACCATATGCCCCTCCCTCACCCACTTCCTGGATCAATTTAGAAATTTCTCCTTAATAGACCTCAGTGGATTAGAATCATAGTTTCCAATTCTTTGTCGAGAGTAAGGTGGGGAAGAGAGGGCTTAAATAATCCATTTTGGTATTAAAATGTTTCTTTTTGGCTGGGTGCAGTGGCTTACACCTGTAACGCCAGTACTTTGGGAGGCCAAGGCGGGTGGATCACTTACTGTCAAGAGTTCAAGACCAACCTAGTCAACATGGTGAAACCTTATCTCTACTAAAAATACAAAAATTAGCCTGGCGTGGTGGTGCATGCCTGTAGTCCCCAGCTACTGGGGAGGCTGAGGCAGAAGAATTGCTTGAATCCAGGAGGTGGAGGTTGTAGTGAGCCAAGATCGCACCACTGTACTCCAGCCTGGGTGACAGAGCAAAAACTCCATCTCAAAAAAGAGAAGTTTCTTTTAAGGAAATAGATGAACTCGTAAATGATAGTTTGTTATTTTTGTTAAATTTACTGTCCCAATTTGGCAAAACTAAATGTTTGCAATTCTTCAATATTCCTCCATTTTTTTCTGAAGTTTTACTTCCCAACAAAAGTCCCCAAACAGGAAACCCTCATTCTCAGGGTAGGTAAACAGTGACTTGCTGCATTCTTTTGTTTAAGGGTATTGAATAGAATCTCACATAAATACCAAAGACTGCAGATCTGAGTATTTGTGTACAAACTTAAAACCAAGGGGTATCCAAATGGGGGATTGCCAAGAGGCAACTAGCAAGGGAGAGGTCTTTCTCCCCTGCCTGTCAGGAAGGAGCTGGGCCCTCTTGGTGGTGCTGTGGGAATAAGAGAGTGTCTCTGAATAATATTTGCATGTCTCATAAATCCACTGAAACTTGGAATTCCATGGATGCCAATCCTAGGTTGCCTGGGAGAGAGGTCTGCCTCACAAAAGATGTCCATATATGTAGCCTCGTCTTCGAATGGAAAGGATGGGAGTGGGATGGCCCAGCTGACCACCTCCTGGTTCCCAGGAAGTCCTGGCTGCAGTAGGTGAGGAGAGATTGAGAGGACAGGAGGGTTCTTTCCTTTCTTCCCTGAGGTTTCAGGGAAAACTCAGCCAAGGGATTTTTTTCAGGGGGGAAACCTGCTTTTGATGCTCTTCTTGGGTACATTTGGACAGTGTATGTGCCCAGGTCCCAGCAGAAGATGTGGGACCATCTGAAACTTGCTGCTCCCTATGTCCCAAACACCTTGGCACACAAAGTGCCTGGAGCCTGGGTGCAGCCCACAGAGCTCAGGCCTGGGAGCTCCCTCTCCACCTGGAAAAGGTAGTTGGTACAACCCCAGCCCAGGGGCCTCGGGCACTGGCTGGCACCTTCTGATCAGCTCCTTTTGCTTTATCAGACCAGCTCCACCTCCACCCAGTCCCCCCCGGCCCTCCAGGTTCTGATCACAAGGGCATTATTGCACCGTTTCTCCTGCCTTTCCTGCAGGGACAGATTAAGAGGACTTCAAGGAACACTGATTGCAAGGCCCTGGGGGGCGGGAAATTGGTGCTGCCACTCCAGAAAACTGTTTAGCAAGAGGCGTCAGTAACTTCAAAAATGTTCGCTCCCTATGATCTGGCACTTGCACGCATGCAAATCCTCCTTAAGAAATCTCCCTGCTGGGTGTGGTGGCTCATGCCTGTAATACCAGCACTTTGGGAGGCCAAGGCAGGTGGATCACTTGATGTCAGAAGCTCAAGACCAGCCTGGGCATCATGGTGAAACCCTGTTTCTATTAAAAATATGAAAATTAGTGGAGTGTGATGGCACATGCCTGTAGTCCCAGCTACTTGGGAAGCTGAGGCAGGAGAATTGCTTCAGCCTGGGAGGCAGAGGTTGCAGTGAGCCAAGATGGTGCCATTGCACTCCAGCCTGGGGGACAGAGCAAGATTCCATCTCAGAAAGAAAGAGAGAGGGAAGGAAGGAAGGAAGGAAGGAAGGAAGGAAGGAAGGAGAAAGAAAAAGAGAGAAATCTCCTCCCAATGCAGATAAAGCCCCAGGCAAAGATTCACCCATACTTATTTACAATAGCAAAAATGGAAGCAAATTAAATACCGAGTGATAAAGGATCAGTTAAATAAATTGAGACACAGTGATAGAATGGAATATGCAGCTGACAAATGTTTTATTTATAAAAGGGTTGTAAAACAGAGAAGTGCTGGAATAAAGTGATGGAATAATAAAGTGGGGAAGGCAGGATATGAAGTGGTATGTACAAGATAATTGCTCTGTAAAAAGAACACTAGCAAATCATGTGGAGAAGAAAAGAGTGGAAGGAAATATAACAAAATGAAATCATGCTTGTCTCTGGTGAGGCTATGGGTGACATTTTTTTCTTCCTTTTCTTTTTTTGTCTCCATCTTTACGAGTTTTGCATGCTGAACAACTCCTCATTTCACTTTTTGAAGGAAATAGGGCCAGGTGCAGTGGCTCACGCCTGTAATCCCGGCAATTTGGGAGACTGAGGCAGGAGGATCATTTGAGGTCAGGAGTTTGAGACCAGCCTGGCCAACATGGTGAAACTCTGTCTCTTCTAAAAATACAAAAATTAGCTGGGTGTGGTGATGTGCACCTGTAACCCCAGCTGCTCAGGAGGCTGAGGCAGAAGAATCACTTGAACCTGGGAGGCAGAGGTTGCAGTGAGCAAGATTGCCCCACTGCACTCCAGCCTGGGCAACAGAGCAAGATTCTGTTTCATTAAAAAAAAAAAAAAAAAAAAAAAAAGAGGAGACCGATCCAAGATGGCCGTTCACTAACAGCTCAGGATTGTAGCTCCCAGTGAAAGCTCAGAGAACGAGACGACGCCACACTTTTAGACGAATTTTCGTCACTCACGGATCAGCCGATTCCCAGTGGAGGAGCCCCACGGGTCGCCAGCGCAACTCTTGTGGCCGCCGCAGCGGTTTTGCCGGCGCCTTGGCGCAGCAGCTCTTCATGCAGAGCAAACGGGACCGCTTCCCCTACTGACCGGAGTTTGGAGCTCCGGGAAGTCAGAGCCGCTTGTTGGGGACTCAAGAGGGAAGCCAGACCAGAGATTCCCGGGCAGAAGAGCACCATCAGTCTTATCGCTGCTATTTAGGCCGCCACAGTGGGTTGCTCGGATCCCAGCACTGGAAATCAATAAATCGGAAGTCGACTCAGAAACCTAATTAGAAAGGCGGTTCATCTACAATGAAGGGGAAAGAATAGCCTAAGAAGGCCAAGTATACTCAAAATCAGAACCCATCAGCAACGGAACAAGCCCTGATGGAAAAGGACTCATCAGCAACCGAACAAGCCCTGATGGAAAAGGATTCATCAGCAGCAGAACAAGTCCTGATGGAAAAGGACTGTGTTCCATTATCTGAAGTAGGCTTTAAAAGGTGGATGATGAGAAACTTCTGGGAGTTAAAGGAACTTGTTCTAACCCAATGTAAAGAAACTAAGAACTTGGAAAAAAGGTTCGATGAAATGATGAAAAGAATAGACAATATAGAGAGGAATACAAATGAACTTATGGAATTGAAAAATACAACACGAGAACTTAGTGAAATATGTACAAGCTTAAACAGCTGAATGGAGCAAGCAGAAGAAAGGATATCAGAGGTCGAAGACCAACTCAATGAAATAAAACTACAAGACAAGAATAGAGAAAAAAGGATAAAAAGGAATGAGCAAAGTCTCCAAGAAATATGGGACTATGTGAAAAGACCTAATATACGTTTGATTGGTGTACCTGAATGTGACGGAGAGAATGAATTCAAGCTGGAAAATATTCTTCAGGATATTATCCAGGAAAATTTTCCTAATTTAGCAAAGCAGGACACTATTCAACCCCAGGCAATACAGAGAACAACACAAAGATATTCCTCAAGAAGACCCCAACCCCAAGGCACATAATCGTTAGATTCACCAAGATTGAAACAAAGGAGAAAATATTAAGGGCAGCCAGAGGGAAAGATCAAGTTACCCATAAAGGTAAGCCTATTAGGCTTACAGCAGATCTCTCAACGGAAACCCTACAAGCTAGAAGAGAGTGGGGGCCAATATTCAATATACTTAAAGAACAGAACTTTCAGCCCAGAATTTCATATCCTACCAATTTAAGCTTTACAATTGAAGGAAAAATAAAATCTTTTAGGAACAAGCAAGTACTCAGAGATTTTATTATCACCAGGCCTGCTTTACAAGAACTTCTAAAAGAAGCATTATACACAGAAAGGAACAACCAGTATGACCCTTTCTAAAAATGCACCAAAAAGTAAAGAGTATTAACATAAAGAAGAATTTACATCAACGAAAGGATAAAATAGCCAGTTAATATCAAATGGCAGTAACCCTAAATTTAAATCAACTAAATCCCCCAATCAAAAGATACAGACAAAATCTAACGGCATATCTAAAGATATACAAAGACTCAAAATAAAGGGTTGGAAAAAAACTTACCAATTAAACGGAGAGCAAAAATAAATAAAAAAAAGCAGGAGTTGCAATTCTCACAATTAATAAAATAGATTTCAAAGCTACAAGGATACAAGGGTAAAAGGATTAATGTAATAATAAGAGATCTTAACACCCAGATACATAAGACCCATAATGAGATTTAGATTCAACGAGACAGAAAATTGATAATGATATCCGGGACTGGAACTAAGATCCAGAACAAATAAAATCAATAGAGCTCTCCATTTTAAACACACAAAATATACATTATCCACTTTAAACACACAAAATATTGATCGGCCATTATTGATACCCATTTTAGGAATGAAGTAATATTTCTTTTTCCCTCTTTTTTTTCCTCTTTTTCCCTCTTTTTCTTTCTCTTTCTTCAAAAAAAAAAAAAAAAAAAGAAAGAAAAAATCTTCCAGGGGTAGGGAAGGAATTTCTTCCACCAGACAGATTGTAAAGCCACAGTAGGACCCAAAAATAAAGTTTCCTTCTATTAACTTCCCTGGGTCCTGCTTATTCACTGTATTGGTTACAAAAAAAAAATCGAGAGAGAGAAAGAAAAGAAAAATAGTAGTAGTACTACTTTACCCCACTCCCAGCCCCTTCTCTAGGGGACTGGCTGGACTCAGTCACCTTCAGCTATCTGCCCTGTTCCTACTCCCCTCTGTTTTAGACACCCACATGCACTCTGTTGCCTACTCTTCTTTCTAGCCACCAGAACCCATAGGCAAGTAACCCTTTCTAGACAAGGAAGGAGCCAAAGTTTTCTATCATTTTTCCAAAGGCAAGAAGGCATGGCCGGGGAGGGAGAATGGAAAGGCAAGCTCTCTCTGCCAGTCCTGGTCTTACCCTTCCAATGTGCGCCTGACCTGACTTGAGCCTGGACTTAGGCAGACCTGAGGGAAGTCCCCAGCTGGGTCATGGTGTTGTGGACAGAGCAGATCTTATGGGGGCAGGTGGGAGACACCACACCCCAAATACAGACTGTAAGCTAGAGGGGTCTGAGCATTCATCAGGCCCACTGGCCCTCAAACTCAAGTGCAACAATCACTGGGCACTGTTAGAAATTCAGAGTCCTGTGCCAAGCCCCAGAGATGGTTTTGGTGAGTCTTGGTGGGGCGCAAGAATCACATTTTTCACAAGCTTCCTGAAGGGCTGGGGTGCAGGTGGTTCACAGAGAAGCTCTAATCCCAGTCTCACCCCAGCCTGCTCCTCCTTATCACCAGCTGATGCAGGAACCCATGGGACTGAGTCTGAGGATGCCAGGGAGAGAGGAGAAAGTGGGGTCTGCAGCAGGAGGAAGGCAGGGTCTGATGCTGGGCATGAGGCCCAGGGGAGTTCCTGGAGCAGACAGAAACTCAGACCAGATCCTCTGAGCCTTGCGTGGTCCTGCCGAGGGTCTTCAGCCGGTTGACCTGGCCAGGGGCGGGAACATATCAGGGATGTCCCAGTCTCCAGCTGGAAGGGCAAGGCCGCCACTCCGGGCTCCAGGGCTGACAAACACTTGGAGGTCTGGCTGGAACATGCGGGAGGAGCGCCTGGGGAAGGTGGGGAGAGCCTGGAGTCTGGGCAGCTGGACTCTGAGGATGAGGTGAAAAGCTTTCGGGAGTCGGTGCAGATCCAGCCACCTTGCTTCATGGCCGGCCTTCACCCAGGAGGGCCTCCTGCCTTACGCTGAGACAAACCTTGAGAAGCCCGGCTCCTCAGACGTGTGGAGGGGAGGCGATACCACATCCCACTCGGGGGCCTGGGAAGAAGCTTCCTCTTTCTCTGTGGTCTGTAAAGACAACAGTGGGGTTTGGAGAGCAGAACCCAAATGAGGGTGGCAGGTATCGGAGGTGGTCCCCAGGTAGCTGCTGCACCCACCCCTCTGCAGGGGCACAGGACCCAACAACGTCTCCCTGGAACCCCCAGGCTTTCACTCATGGCCCCTTATATCCCCAGTCCGTCCATCCCCGGAGGCGCCCTCAAGGCCCCAGGCTGGGTTCTGACACAGACGTGGCCTCCCGGCAGCCCACAGCTCTGTCAGCCGGGACTCCCAACCAGCTATTCAGGAATTTTCTGGACCGGAAAAAAGACAATGTGAGGTCAAAAGCCCTGGCTTCCCGGGTGAAATGGGCTTGGCTCACGGCTGCGAGGGGGCAGGTGGGCGGATGCGGGGGGTGTGGGGTTTGGGGAGAGGATGCGGAGGAAAGGCCTTCTTCCACTTCCTGGCATTGTCTGAGTGGAGGCAGGCAAGGTGGCTCTGCAGCCCCTCCCGCTCCCGAGCCCTCTGTCTGTACCTGGCTTAGATACTGGATCTCTGTGTAGAGGCTGGCAGAAGGCTCGGGGATGGCGAGAGGCCCCATGGGCCCTGCAAGGCTGATCCTGGCGTCCTCTGGGTCCTGGCAATTCCCCAGCGGCTGTCACAGAGACTTGGTCAGAACAGCCTGTTCTTGGCAGCAGGGAGGGTCTATGAGCCCAGCCAAGCCCAACGAGAGGAGGGAAAGGTGGGAGGGGGTGGGCAAGGTGGGAGGAGCCAGAAGGGGAAGAACACTAAGCTCCTCCGTGGCTCTGCCACTTCCTACCCCTCAGGGTGACCTTGGACAAGCTGTGTAACCTCTCGGAAGCCCAGTTTCCTCAGCTGTAAAACTGGCTAAGAATTTGTCCTTTGGGATTATAATATTCATAATAGCATCTTGCCACTCAGCCAGTGAGAACTTCTGGAATGACGGATTTGTTTTCATTATGTTCTATTCTCTAAAGCAGAAAGATCATGCAAGTTGCAGGTTGTCTGTGACCAGCCAGGAGACGGCAAAGTTGGACACTCCAAAGACTCATTGAATAACAAGGGGCACACGAAAAATTCTTGAGATGATGGGTCTGAGCAATCCATTATCCAACAGATGAGGAGACCATGGCCCAGGGAAGAGAGCTGGTAGTCCAGGGTCAGTGGGGAAGCCCACATTCTGACCCGGGCCCGGCTGCTCCCATGGGTCCTCAGATCAGGAATGCCAGGCCCATCCATCTCAAGCTCCCTTTCCCTAGCAAGTGGGCAGAGCAGAGGCTGGAGCTGGCCAAGGCCCCCAGCCAAGACTCCCAAGGTCACAGGCTGCCCTGAGGTTTCCTGGACAGCAAATCCCATGGTCCAATGGGCACTGATACCAGAGAAAGAAACTCCCATTTTCTGGGCATCTGTGGGGTATATCATCTCACTCTTTCCTATTTACGAGCATGTGAGCTATGGCAACAGGGGCTCAGGGAGAGGATGCAACTTGCTTGATATCACACAGCTGGCAAATGGCTGGGTTGGGACTCATGCTGGAAACTGTCTGACCGCAGACCCAAGCTCTTTCCCTATACCCTGCTGCCATCCTGGCAAGGCGTGAGACGCATTTCTATTGGGCTCAGTGTCTGTGGTCTACTAAGCTGGCCCCCGCTTTTCTCAATACCTAGCTGTCGGGGATGGGGGCAGAAGTGTGGATGTTTGAGCCATCTCTTGTTAGAAATGCAGAGATGAAGGCTAGGTGTGGTGGCTCGTGCCTGTAATCCCAGCACTTTGGGAGGCTGAGGCTGGAGGACTGCTTGAGCTCAGAAGTTTGAGACCCACCTGGGCCACATAGTGAGACCCCATTTCTCTAAAACTTTAAATTAAAAAGATAAAAAATATACTAAAGAAAAAAAGAAACACAGGGATGACATATTCAGTCTTCTGGGGACAAGGTAGGAATTGGAGCAGAATTCCCTGGGGGAAGTGTGGCTGGCGGATGAGGGGATGAGGGGACTGGGAGCGGTAAGGTGATTCCCAAATACTGCCACTCAGGGCTCTTGTCCCTCCTAGCCCTGTCCATGGTGAGGACAGAGGGGGCCCTGGTGCAGGGCAGAGCTGGGGCTAGACCAGAGGACTCCTGACGTTAGACCCATGAATCCATATTTTCAGCTTTGCAATTTGGTCATAACCCAGCCACTGCTGACCCTGGACCACCGGCAGCTGCAGAAGCATCACCTGTTCCAGGATGACCGAGTCTGAGGAAAGAACCTTGCGGTACAGAGGCCAAACCGCACACCCAGGCAGCAGCGAGGCCCACTACCGCATGTCCCGTGTGATTCGCGACCTCTCCCCTGCCCTCTGCCTCCACTGTGGATGATCGGTCCTGTTCCAGCAAGCACAGAGGCATTTTCTGGGTTGCTATATATGCAAGAAATATATCAGAGCTCGTTTCTAGGTATTAGTAACAAACGTGGCAAAGAACAAGGGAAGTCTTGGGTAGCCAGGGCTGAGTTCTGATCTGAGCTCAGCAGGCTATTCGTTTCCAGGAGTGAGGGTCTGCAGCTGTACCAAGCTCTTTCTCCTGAGTCTGGGGGAGAGGCTTGGGCTGTGAACTTGGCGCCATTCCTCAAACCCCTTGGACTTCAGTGCAGTGGGGTGCAGGATGCAGAGGGCGCTGCAGCCAGCCTCACAGACCTCAGTCAGTTTCCCCAGTTCTGCCTCTTTCAGGCTGGGTCACTGTGGGCAAGTCCCTTTTCTCTCTGAGCCTCTATTTCTTCATCTGCAAAATGGGGGGAATAATAATGCCTACCTCATGTAGGAATTATGAGGATTCAATGGCGTATATAAAGCCCCTGACACTTAGTAGGTGTTCAATTAAAAAAAAAAACATATGGCAGACGAATGGATGGATGGCAATCCTTTCAGCAAGATCTCTTTGGGAAAGAAAATGCTGGTCTGACCCCTAACACTTCCCTCAGGGTTTTCACACCCCTTCGAGGCTCTCTCAAAGTATAAGTAATACACCCCCCCCATTCTCTTTGACCTGAATGTGGGCAAAGAAACCCCAGGCCCCTTCAATTCCATCTCCAGACTCTGCTAAAACCTATGGAGAGGCCACGAGGGAAATAAGAAAAAGAAGGCCGCATCTGATTGTGTTTACAGGATTCTTGCCTCTGACCCTCTTGGGGTGCTCTGTTCCATCGTTCCATCAACAAGGGCCAGCCCCTCTGCCTGCTGGCCCTGTGCCCCTTACTGTCCCCTCCCTCTTCAGCAGAAGCAGGGTCAGGTGCCTCGGCAGAAAAAGCCCAAAGCAGCCCTTCCCAGGGTGGCCTGAAGGCAGCGGCATGGGAGCTGTGGCTGGTACAGGAGCTCTTAGCCTCCTTGGACCCCAGCCCCTCCTCCAGAGCTAGGTGGGGTGAGCCCCAGGTCCCAGGCCGCAGAGCCAGGAGGCTGGGTTTGGACACGATCAGTGGCACCCCGGTCCGTCCATCCATGCGTCTCTGTGACTTTTCCCTCACTCCCCTCCGCCACCTTTGGCTCTGTTGAGCTTCCTGAGACGACAACAACTGCTTCCTACCAGCCCAAAGTCCCATTCCCACCGAGTCCTCCCTGGGGGACCAGGCCTGAGTCTTTTGTTCTCACTGGCGCCAGGAAAGAAGGCAAGGATAGCTCCCTTTTCCTGCCCTCGTGTTTAAAGGAATGAGTGGAGGCATCTCAGTCAACAGTGGAGGGAGGAGGGTCCAGATGGGGCTTCTGTGTCCTGAACCGCAATGCCGCAGCCCCCACCACCCCCAGGCTGGAGCCCGGGCCTCGGAGGGCACAGTCTCTCCTTGTAGCAGTAGCCTTGGGGCAGGTTCCCTGCTCCCGACAATGGGCACAGGGACCCCTATTGTCTTGCCCCCTGGTCCCCAGAGCACCACCCTCAGCCTGGGTCCTAGGGCAGCCATGCTTCCTTGGTCTCAGAGCCAAGGAAGCTCAGAGAAAACATGAGGGCGTTCTGGAAAGAGAAGAGCGGGGAGTCAAGAAATCTGGGTCCTGTTCTCCATTTGGGCCACCACCTGCTGTGTGACCATGGCAAGGCCTTTACCCTCTCTGGGCCTCAGTTTCATCTTTTGCAAAAGCACACTAGAGTTTGTAGCATTGCCAGTCCCTGGACCCCAGTCCCTGGACCCCACCCTTGGAGGGTTCAGCTAGGGCTGGGGCCCTCACCCCTGGGTGTTCTGAAAGGGGATTTGCTTCAAACTGAAAGGTCGGGCTAGAGATCTCAAAGGCTTCCTCTGGACCCAGCTCTGATGTTCTGTGATTCTAAAGGTGGGATGGAAAGAAGGTGCCTGGTGAAGACACTCACATGGATCCTGGTGTCCACCCTGCCTGGCTCCCAGCGGGAAATTAGGTTCCTACCTGTAAGTCGCCTATGGGCACTCCCCAAGGCATGAGGAGCCAGGTAGGAAGTCACAGAGGCAGAGCCAGGAATCCTGACTCCCAGCCCCACGGGGATCTGAGCTTGGGTTTCCATATGCCTCTGTCCTTACCAAGTGTGAGAGGTAGACCTTCTCATTCCTCTGTGTCTCTGTGGCCAGTTGAGCTGAAAGAGATGTAGAAGGAGGAGCCCCTTGAAGCCAGGAGTAGTGAGGAACGGCCTGTAGCTGCTCCCAGAGAGGTGGACTGGGCCCCTTGCACATGGGAGCAGGGGCTTCCCAGAGGGAGGAGGCAGCCAGATGGGCAGAGGAGTCCCTTCCAGCTCAGACCTTTGGGAATGACCCAGTCTTCCGAGATCAGTGCATGGAGATGATCTCATGAGGGCCAGAAACTGGTAGGGAAAATAAATCTGTGTGCTAAGGACATAGCTTCTTCAGCCTTAGTGTGCACATAGGACCCCCTGGACGTTTTCGTACAGTGCAGAGTCTAGTTCAGTAGTCTGGGGTGAGGGTCTGAGGGTCTGCATGTCTAGCAGGCTATCAGGAGTTGTCGATGCTGCTGGCTGGTGATCACAGTTTGAGAGCTAAGTGGCTCTGAGGCTGTGACCAGGAATGCTCCTGCCCTGGACTTTTCAGAGGGGCCCTGGACAAAGCCCACATTTCCTCCTAGAAGCCACTCGTGGAAGAGACAGAAAGTGGGCCCAGGACTCCCCCGTGGCCATGCCCATGGGGATGACATTGTGATGATCTTCCTGGCTCCACCACTTCCTACCTATGCAAACAAAGGGCGAGCTGCGTAACCACTCTGTCTCTGTGTCTCCCCCTGGAAAATGGGTGTACTCCCCTGGAAAATGAGTATACTCCCCAGAAAATGGGTGTACTTCCCTGGAAAATGGGTGTGCTCTCCCGGAAAATGGGTGTGTTCTCCACAGTGTGGAGGCGATTAAACAGGATAAGCGAGATAAGCTGGGATAGTGCCTGCCACATGGTAGCTCTTATTACTGAGATTTCAGTTAATCCTTTTAGTCTTTGCCATCAGAACAGGAGCCAGGAACCACACGTGGCTATCAGGCACTGAAACGTGACTACTTCACGTTAGACTGGGTTTTGATGCCTCGATATGAAAAACATGAAAGTAGAACATGTATCATTGATATTTTCTTTTTTTTTTTTTTTTGAGTTGGAGTCTTGCTTTGTCATCAGGCTGGAGCGCAGTGGCGTGATCTTGGCTCACTGCAACCTCCACCTCCAGGGTTTAAGCAATTCTCTTGCCCCAGCCTTCCCAGTAGCTGGGACTACAGGCACACGCCACCATGCCTGGCTAAATTTTTGTACGTTAAAAAAAAAGAAAAAAAATTTTTTTGTACTTTAGTAGATGGTGTTTCACCATATTGGCCAGGATGGTCTCGCTCTCCTGACTTCGTGATCCACCTGCCTCAACCTCCCAAGGTGCTGGGATTACAGGTGTGAGCCACGGCACCCCGCCATCATTGATCTGCTCATATTGATTCCATAGTGAAATGATAATGTTTTGAATACGTTGGGTTAAATAAACTACATTATTAAAATTCACTTCACTAGATTTGGCATAGTGGCTTACTCGGGAGGCTGAGGCAGGAGGATCACTTGAGCCCTGGAGTTCAAGGGTGCAGTGAACCATGATCACATCACTGCCCTCCAGCCTGGGCCACAGAGAGAGACCCTATCTCTAAAAAATAAATAATTAAAATAAAATACATTTAATGGCACTAGATGTTTTTTTTTTAACTTTTTAAAATGTGGCTACTTGAAAATTTTAAATTACATTTGTGGCTTGTATTCTATTTCTGTTTGATGTGTATCTGTGATTTTAGGTAAATGAGGCTTAGAGCAGTTAGGTGACTTGCCTTAGGTCGCCAGCTCAAAAGTGGTAGAGCCTGGATTTGAGCCTCGGCCTATGGAAGGGACTGAGCAGCACTAGAGACCCAGTGGCAGGAGTGGGGTCACCTTGTCTGTCCTGCTCAAGTTCAAGTGGTTGGCCCTGCATTGCCCCTGGCAGTTGGTTCCCACACAAGGAGTTGGCAATCTCTGGGATTGCTGGGAATTCCCTGGGGTCAATAGGTAGAGAAGTGCTTGATCAGTTCACACAGGCAGGAAGAAGCTGAGAACCCTTCATTCTCCCATTTCCCCTTGTGAATTGCTTTCCTAAGGTTGACCGCCTTGTGGGTCCCTCAGAAGGTGGGGGCATAGCTCCTGACGCCCTTATCTCAGACGGACACGCTGAGGCCCACAGGGTCTTCCCAGGGCTGGGTGCTGAGCTGCAGGTCTCAGTGAGGCCCCTGGCCCAGTGAGCCTCCCACCTTCCTCCCACCCACCTTTGCTTACCTTCCTTTCTCCACCGGAGCAGATGGCTGCTGAAGGTGATTAGGCCTGCGGCCCCCAGAAGGCTCAGCAGCACCAGGACTGGGGCCAGAATGCGGACCAATGGGATGGACAACCTGGAGATGAGACACAAGGAGCCTAGTGGCTATTACCAGACAAGCCAGAGTCTATGTCCTTTGGGGGTCCCAGGTACAGGCTGAGAAAGCCAATCCCTAGCATGAAATCCAATTCAATACAGCAAAGACTTGCGGGGGTGGGGTGGGGAGCAGGAGCATTTAGTGCTGTTGGCTCTTGACAAACATTATTTAATTAGCACAGACCCTGAAACCAGGCTGCCTGGGTTCAAACTCTAGCTCCGCCACCTTCTAGACCTTGGGTAAGTGACTAAACCTCCCAGGGTGTCAATTTCCTCCTTTGTAAAATGGCTGCGGTGAGGATCAAACAGGTCAGGATGTGTAAAGCGCTTAGTTCAGAGCCAGACACATGCCAGGCACCCTGTCATTGATAGCCGTCAAATCCCACAATCCCTGTGTAACTAGGTAGGAGTGGCCCAATTTCACCCTGGAGAAACTGACATTTGAAGCAATGAGCGACTTGCTTGGTCACCCAATGGTGTGAAGGGAAATCCTCAGCAGCTTGTATCTGGGCTGGCGTCACTGGCACTGGCATGGGGGGCATCCTGGCATTCTAACTGTGAGTCAAGCCATATCCTTTGATTCTCCCAAGGAGATGAGAGTGCACTATGGGCCACGATGTCCCATCAGCCCTGTCTGGCGTGGAAGGCGCCACTGCCCCCATTGCCAACCCCAGGGTTCACTTTCAGCAGGGTCTGAACTTGCCAGCAGCTGCCTGGATGTTGATAGCTGAGTGCAGTTACAACCCCCAAGAACCAATCCTTCAGGCTGGGACTCCAGTTGTAAGGAAAAAAGTTGTTTTCTTTTGGATTCTGAATTTTCATGCTCAGCACAGGGCTTGGTGCAAAGTATATAGGCAGGAGCCCCCGACTGGGGTGGCTGTGCCTGAGGTGGGGGCTGGGACCCTGGCGACCCTTCACCCTGGATAGACAGCAGGGCTGCTGGTCCTACAGTGCAAGTTGTCCACTGCTCAAGGGCCACAGCTGCAGGCTGTGGCCATGACAAGTGGATGCGTCCACTTAGAGGAAAGAGCACTGGGTTCCTATTTGCTCAAAGTCACCTTAAGGTTTAGTGATGGCCTGAAAGGGGACATGGGTGCCCTGGGGCTCACCTGGGCTTAGAGCTGCCACTGCTGAGAGCAGGACTGGCGTCCTCAGCTGAGGTGGAGTCCAGGTACATGATGGGGCGGGAGCTCCCTGAAGGAGGAGAGGTCGCTGTGTGAGGAGAGGTCCCTGTGCACTGTGAGTTTCTTTTGTGTCCGTATCGGGAGGTCCCTGGGAATGGAGTGGTCTTGGCCACTGTCTTCCCCTGCTTGGCTGTGGTTACTGCCGGGTAGAGCCCAGGAGAAGCTACAAGTCCAAAAACAATGCCTCAGCATCCTTCCTGACCCTTACATCCCAGCATCCCCGACCTCTGACCCTTGACCCCTGCACCGTAGCCTCCCTGGGACTAATTTCTTAGAACATCCCCAGCTAAAGGACACCTCAGTAAGCAAACAGATCTAGATGGAGTCATTTTAAGGAAGGAGACCCCATTTTAAGATCAGGCACACCCCACACCTGTGCATAATGTTTAGTCTCTTTTTCTGTCTGCAGCCTGCTCCCTCTGCGGGGAGGCACAATCACTCCCCTTCCCCACTTCCATGACCCTTTCCGGTGACCATTCCTGTCCACCCCACTGCAGTCCCAGCCAATTGTCACCTCCTTCCTTACCAGAAGGGCAGGTCCTCCCATCACCACCATGTGCCCACCTCCCACCACCCATGCCTCAGTAACGCCTTGACCTCCTTCTGCAGCCATGAGGCCAGGCAGGGCAGGGTGGCAGGGATGAGTCCAGAGGTCAGGGCCTAAGGCCCCATCTTTCTGGCTTGCCCCTGAGACTCTGGATGGCACAGACAGAACACAAGCTTTGGGGTCAGACTGTGACCACTTCTGGGCTCTGCCACTCCCTGTGTGACCTTGAGTGAATGACCTAACCCTGCTGAGCCTCCACTTTCACAGCTGGGAAACCCAGCTCCCAGGCTTGTGGGACACCTAGGTGGCCATAAAGTATCGTGTCTGAGGCCTGGCAGGGTGGCTCACGCCTGTAATCCCAGCACTTTGGGAGGCCCAGGTGGGCGGATCATGAGGTCAGGAGATGGAGACCATCCTGGCAATGGTGAAACCCCATCTCTACTAAAATACAAAAAATTAGCTGGGCGTGGTGGCACATGCCTGTAGTCCCAGCTACTCAGGAGGCTGAGGCAGGGGAATCACTTAAACCCAAGAGACAGAGGTTGCAGTGAGCTGAGATTGCACCACTGCACTCCAGCCTGGTGACAAAGCAAGACTCGGTCTCAAAAAAAAAAAAAAAAAAAAGCGGTCAGGCGCAGCGGCTCACGCCTGTAATCCTAGCACTTTGGGAGGCCGAGCGGGGTGGATCACCTGAGATCAGGAGTTCAAGACCAGCCTGGCCATCATGGTGAAACCCCACGTTTAAAAAAAAAGAAGAAAAAAAAATCATGTCTGGTACCAGGCAGGCACTCACTGGCTGCTTCTGTAAGAAGGGTAGGACGGAATCACCATTCACTCAGTCCTGGGGGCTGGGTTTACTGAGCTTTTGCCTTGGGCTGCAGGCTTGTCGTAGTGGGAGAAGGGGAGGGAGGACAGCAGGGTCCTAGAGGAAAGGGAGAGGCTGCTCTCAGGGGCGGCACCACTCTGAACCCCTTTTCCTTCCTTGGGAGCAGCTGGCAGCTCTCCTACCCGCCACCTGAGCACAGAGCACTGCCATCTTTCACCTTGGCCAACCAGGAGCCACATGGTGGGTTCCCGCAGATCCCTGGCCCTCTCCTTCTGCAGCCCCCTTAGCCTCTCTCCCGCCTAGCTCAGACCCTCAGCTTCCCTGTCGACACCTGCCTCAGCCTGCCTCTTCCCTGCCACCCTTCACACTACACCAGTTTTGTCTCTAAAGTCTGTGTTGGATCCCATCCTTCTGCCTTAGAACAGTCAGTGCCTCTCCATTGCCTATAAGCCGAAGTTTCAACTTTTCAGCATGCCTTTCTTTTCCTTTTTCTTTTTTATTTTAGATGGAGTTTTGCTCTTGTTGCCCAGGCTGGAGTGCAATGGCATGATCTCAGCTCCTTGCAACCTCTGCCTCCCAGGTTCAAGTGATTCTCCTGCCTCAGCCTTCCGAATAGTTGGGATTACAGGCATGCGCCACCACACCTGGCTAATTTTGTATTTTTATTAGAGACAGGGTTTCTTCATGTTGACCAGGCTGGTCTTGAACTCCCAACCTCAGGTAATCTGTCTGCCTTGGCCTCCAAAAGTGCTGGGATTACAGGTGTGAGCCACTGTGCCCGGTCTTTCACATGTCTTTTAAGGCCTCTTAAACTCAGGCTTCAGATCAGGCTCAGTGGCTCATACTTGTAATCCTAGCACTTTGGAATGCCAAGGCAGACAGATTACCTGAGGTTGGGAGTTCAAGACCAGCCTGGTCAACATGAAGAAACCCCGTCTCTAATAAAAATACAAAATTAGCTGGGCGTGGTGGTATATACCTGTAATCCCAGCTACTCAGGAGGCTGAGGCAGGAGAATTGCCTCAACCTAGGAGGCAGAGGTTGCAGTGAGCCGAGATCACACCACTGCACTCTAGCCCGGGCAGCAAGAGCAAAACTTCATCTCAAACAAAACAAAACAAAACAAAACAAAAAACACCCAAACTCAGGCTTCAAACCACCTTGTCAGCCTCGCCTCTTTCCCTGCTCGGTGCTCTAGCAATAGCGTTGTCCTTTATTCCCGACTAAGCCAGCCTCCTGCCCACCTCTGTGCCTTGGACTTGCTGTTCCTCTGTGTGAGATGCCTTTCCTTTCCATCTCTGCCTAACACACTTCTCTCTGTTCTTCAGCACAAGCTCAAGGTCAACTCCTCTGTAATGTCTTCCCTGGAAGCGGCTAATCTCCTTCTCCTTTGTGCACTCATAGTCCCCTGTGCATGGCTCCAGTGGCGCTCACACTCACTTACACTGCAATTTCTTGTTTACTGGGTCTACCTGCTAGGCTGAGACTCCTTGTGGGCAAAATGCCTATCCTTTGTGCCTAGCACCGTGGACAGAAGCCTGATGCAACCATCCCCCCAGGAGCTACTCCAGTCCTCTGCTTCCCCAAGTCCATCTGTCACTGTCACCTCCCAGTCCTTGCTGACTGTGTATCCTGGACTCCCTCTTTCTCCACCACCCTCTTCTACAGATTGAGTATCCCTTATCCAAAACGCCTGGAACCAGAAGTGTCTCAGATTTCAGAATATTTGCCTTATATCTACTGATTCAGCATCCCTAATCCAGAAATCTGAAATCCAAAACGCCCCAACAAGCACTTCCTTTGTATGTGTCATGCCGACATGCAAAAAATTTCAGACTTTGGAGCATTTCGGATTTCTGGATTAGGAATACTCTATCTGTATCATTATTCTTGCATTTTTCTAAGTAAGTGATCAAATCTTTTGCAAATAAAGAGTATTTATCTTTTCTTTTCCATCATTTATACTTCTTAATCTTGCATATTTCATTGCCTGGGGCCTTCAGGCTAGGATGAATGAAAGAAAATGATAGTAGACTGGCCGGGTGCAGTGGCTTATGCCTGTAATCCCAGCACTTTGAGAGGCCAAGGAGGGAAGATGGCTTAAGTCCAGGAGTTTGAGACCAGATTGGCCAATATGGTGAAACCACACCTTGAAAAAAAAAAAAAGTGACACAAATTAGCCAGGTGTGGTGGCCGTGCCTGTGGTCCCAGCTACTCTGGAAGTTGAGGTAGGAGGATTGCTTGAGCCTGGGAGGCAGATGTTGTAATGAGCCAAGATCATGTCACTCCACTCCAGTCTGGATGACAGAATGAGACCCCGTCTCAAATAAATGAATAAATAAATAAAAAGAAAAGAAATGATAGTGGGTACATTTGTCTTTTTCTGACCTTCCTAGAAATTCTCATGTTTCATCATACTCAGTGGTGTGCTGAGATGGCTCCCACTGGCTCATAAGAGCTAATAGCTAACTTTTCAGGAATTGGTGAGATAGTTGTTAAACTGTGGATGGCTGGAAATTGGCCATGGGAGGAGCACTGACACCACAGAAATCGAAAAACACTACAAATGACAGCATCCCCCAGGCTGTTAAGCATTTACCAGCACAGCACTGTCATGAGGTCTCTTCATTTCATATCCCAACTGCCATCAGAGAGAGGCCACAGAGTCTGAGCTAGGAGGGTAATACAGTACTGTACATATTATATGCAAAGAATGACAAATGAGGGTAAATAGAAAACACAGGTAAACTCGATCATAACTGGTAAAAATGACCTGTGAATACTGATAAGAATTGGAAGAGGTTAGAGAATCTTGTAAATAATGAAGAACAGATTCAATGTGGTTTGATGCTGCTGCTATTTGGCAACTTTAACTTTATTTCCCTAAATTAAAATAAAGATCCATGGAGAAAGGAATAAAAAACTAATAATGAGGGGATCTGTTGGTGGTGGGGCTGGGCCTGGGCTTGGGATGTGTCCCAGCTACAGGGTCAGGGGGGGAATAAAGCAGATATCAAAGCCAGAAATGATTGTGTTACAATCCTGGTCCCGCCACTTCCTGCTGTGAGACCTTGGGCAAATCACTTAGTCTCTTGCAGCCTCAGTCCCTCATCTGTGAAATGGGGCTACAAAGACCTACCTTGCCCTCACTGGCCAGCAGACCAAGGCTCCCATTGCCCTGGGCCCTCTCTGGCTTCTTTCTCCTTAGCTCAGCAGGTCCAGGTGGGGTTCTGGGCACCCAGAGAGGTGCTCTATCTTCTGCTCGGGCCCGATGGCTCCAGCCCTATCCCCTTAGTGTCTCTGCATTTAACAATTCCTCCTTCAGGCACCCTATCCAGAGGCTGGTTCCCAAGCACTCTAGCACCTGTGCCTGGACTTCAAGATCGGGGGAGGTGGAGGCCAGGAGAGGAGAGTTGAGGGCACAAGCAGAGGGAGGCCGGCATGGTCAGGGCTCGGGTGTGGCTCTTTGCTCAGGAATATCTTGGACACCAGGCAAGGAGTCTTCTTTATACCCTGATATGTCCATCTTGTACCCAACCTATGGAAATCTCCCTCCAGAACATCTGGGCAGAAAGGAAAGGCGCCGAGCCCAGCACTGGACAGATCCGGGTTCAGTCCTGCTCTGACATCGACTAGTGGTACCCTGGGCAGCGAGAGCGAAAGAGTGACCAAGACTTATGCGGCTCCCTCTGTGCCCCAGGCCTTGCTCAGCCTTTGACCTGCATGATCTCCCTGAGGCAATAAGGTTGGTACCAGGACTACACCCCACCACCCCTCCTTCTTCCCTCTGCAGCGCCTGTCCCCAGCCCGGGGAAGGAGTGATATTTGTTACCTGCAAAGATGGTCAGAGTGATCGGTATAAACTCATCAACGCCCAGTTTTTTGACCCCACACCAGTACTTCCCAGCGTCTTTCAGGGTGAGGTCCTGCAGGGTCACAGTGAATGAGAGCTCCTGGCGGCTGTCACGGATGGACACCCTGCCCTCCGTTATCTCCTGGCCTTCTTCTCCCGAATAGATGGTGCCGGCGCAGCGGGAGATGAAGAGGCCGACTTCCCTGCACCAGTACTTCCGGTGGTCCCTCAGCTCTTCCCCGTAGGTGCACTTCAGGGACACAGTGTCCCCTTCGAACCCGCTGATTTCCTTTGGGCCCTTCAGGGCTTCATAACCTAAAATCACAGCAAGAGTGGAGGTTGGAATAACCAGGATCCATGCACCAGAGATTCAAGGCCAGAGCTTCCATTTTAAGAGGAGGAAGGAAGGCTTTTCTTAGTCACCCCTGCTGGGGACAGGCTTGGAAAGGCCAGTACTCCTCTCCCGCTCTGGGCAGGGCTGCTGCTGTTCCCTAACCCTGGCCTATTGAGGAATGGGGTGGGGAGGGGCGTTGTAGATTCAGATAGAATCTGATAGCCAGGTAGCCAGGAGGGTTTCTGGGTTTTTGTTTTGTTTGTAGACAGGATCTCACTCTGCTGCCCAGGCTGGAGGGCAGGGTGCTCATGGCTCACTGTAGCCTGACCTCTGGGACTCAAGAGATCCTCCTACCTTAGCCTCCCACTAGCTAGGACTATAGGTGTGCACACCCACACCTGGCTAATTTTTTGTCTTTTTTTTTTTCCAAAGAGATGGGGTCTCACTATTGCCAACTGAACAACTGGCATCAGTTGTAAGATGCATCCTGATTTTCAGTGTTAAAAGGTAAAGAAAAAGAAAGCAAAAGAATTGATGAAACATGATCATTCTCCATCTCTCAGGGTTGTGGGGAGAGGCAGGGTAGAGATTCAACAAATATTTGCTGAGTTTAAAAGGACAATCAGATGGGGGTGTCTTGTCTGCCTCCAGGCTTGGCACAGGGTAGAAAAATTAAGATCAGAGAGGCAAAGCAACTCTCACAGCCACCTCGCCAGGAGGGGAAACCCACGGGTCTGGGAGAAAACCTGGCTCTAGGTTCCAGAAACAGCAATCGTGCTCTGGCACCACCCGGCTACCCTAGGGCTGAGGAGGCTGAGGATGGGTGGGTTGGGGCTATCAGGCAGTCAGGAGGTCCTTCCCTGGCAGACTCCAAGGGTGAACCCCACATGCCTCCCAAGACCCCCACCCCATCTCACCTGGGAGCACCAGGCAACCCCATAGCAGGACCAGAAGCCGCATTCTGGGCGCTGGACACCGCAGGAGCAGACGCTGGGAACTGTGAGCTGCTCTTCAGCCACGCGGGGTTTTAACTTCCTCTAGTCGCGTGAAACCAGGCCGAGGAAGTGAGGGGAGGGGCGTGCGGGTCACCCCGCCGCAGGCCCAGCGGGGGGGCGCCTCTGCCTTCCCTTTAATGACTGCCCACGCGTGCCTACCCCGGCTCACCTCCCAGGACTGAAAACCCACGCTGGTGCTTCTCTCTTAACCTGTGGTCCGTGCACCCTAAGAGGTCTGTAAGTCGAATTCAGGGAGTCCAGGTATTCGCATGGGAAAAAGTTACGTATTGACTTTCACCGACTTTTAATGTTTAGCTTTTCTCCTATCAGGAGTGTACTGTTAGCAGTACCTGCAAATTTATTGCCAATTACAATCACAGATACTGGCACATCAGGCTGTGGATATCTCGAAACGTCGTGTGTACTCTTCACTGCTTGGAAAATCATGAGTTACTAGACCTGCCCACAGAGCTGGTTATTTACAGCTAATAATGAAACAGGGCTATTACTAGATTACATGTTTATAAAGAGTTTTGAGAATCATCTCACCAATATTAGTTTTTTTTCAGCATATGGATTTTATTTATATACTTACGCGCTATTACACTGAGAGAGGGGTCCATAAACTTCACCAGACTGCCATGTGGTTGATGGGACAGAAAGAAGCTTGCCGCTGGGGCAAGGTCCCTGGCCCCTCCTCCGCCATCGCCTTTTGGAGGACTCAGTGCTGTCCTGGGCCACGGGGCGGCGGTGCAGACCGGGCGGAGCAAAGTTGTAGGGCTGAGCTGAGCTGGATTCCCTGGAGACCTGGGCAGTCCGCGCTGCAAAATGGGTCTCCCTCAGGCCTGCGGAGTTGTTTTGGAGTTTGAGAAAGAGAATTGGTGGTTTCTCCATCAATTCAAGCAGACTTGAATCCTCCTTGAAAGGACCAAACCAAAACTGGGCCGGGTGCCGTGGCCCACGCCTGTAATCCCAGCACTTTGGGAGGCCGAGGCCGGTAGATCACTGAGGTCAGGAGTTCGAGACCAGCCTGGCCAACATGGTGAAATCCCTATCTCTACTAAAAATACAAAAATATTAGCTGGGCGTGGTGGCACATGCCTGTAATCCCAACTACTCGGGAGGCTGAGGCAGGAGAACCCGGGAGGGGGAGGTTGCAGTTAGCCGCAATTGGCGCCATTGCACTCCAGCCTGGGTGACAGGAGCGAAACTCCGTTTCAAAACAAAAAACAAAACACACAAAAGGTACTCCTGGGAGCCCTGACACACTGGTTTCAACGACGACTCTTTTTTTTTTTCTGTCTGCGAAGTTCACACAGGTAAGCAAGATTTTACATAATGCAGAACTTAAAAAAAGAAAGAAAGGAAACAAAAGGGAATGTTTTTTGTAATTCCCCTTCTGCTTTAGAAAAACACCATTAACATTTTGGCATATATGCTTCCAAATGTTCAGTTGGAATTTTACTCACTTGTCAGCTTAATATTTGAAGCATGAACTCAGTGGTTCTGGGAGGGGAGATTGTGTCTGTTTGAGACTAGCAATGTGGGAGAAGCGTTCTGATTTCACAATGACTGCGAACCACTGCTGCCATTTAGTGGGCAGGGACAGCTGTTCACGTTGGTGAAAACTCTGTTACCATGATCTCAGCCCTGCCTCCTTTTTTTTTTTTTTTTTTTTTTTGATGGAGTCTCTCTCTGCCACCCAGGCTGGAGTGCAGTGGCACCATCTGGGCTTACTGGAACCTCTGCCTTGCAGGTTCAAGTGATTCTTCTGGCTCAGCCTCCAGGCGTGTGCCAACTCCCAGCTAATTTTTGTATTTTTAGTAGAGATGGGGTTTCATCATATTGCCAGGCTGGGCTTCAACTCCTGACCTCAAATGATCCACCCACCTCAGCCTCTCAAAGTGCTGGGATTACAGGTATGAGCCACCACCCCTGTCTCCCTTTTACATATACAGACTACAAAAGGTGATCTGTTTTTGTAGTTAAAAAAAACCGCAGATTCAAAAAAATGTATTTATTTATTTTTGAGACAAGCCTCACTCTTGTTGCCCAATCTGGAGTGCAGTGGCAACATCACAGCTCACTGCAGCCTCAAACTCCCAGGCCCAAGTGATCCTCCCACCTCAGCCTTCCAAGTAACTGGGACTGCAGTCATGCACCACCATGCCTAGCTAATTTTTTGTTTTTAGTAGAGACGGGGTCTTGCTATGTTGTCCAAGCTGGTCTCAAACTCCTGGCTTCAAGCAATCCTCCCATGGTGGCCTCCCAAAGTGCTGGGATTCCAGGCATGAGCCACCATGCCTTGCCTTAAAATAATACTTCTTCTAGCATTTGATAGCATATCTTTGCTCTTTTATTTATTTAATTTTGTCCTGATCCTCTACTTTTCTTGACTTCAGACTTATGATATGCAAGGGCAAGCATCTGACACTTCAATGTTTCACTGGCAGACTGAAATATGTTACTTGGTTATAAATTGCTTTCCTTTTATTTTTTCTCCCTAATATAGCTTTTAAAAGAGTAAGTGCATGGGAAGGCATATTATTTATGATTGTCTGATTGTCATTTTAGGAGAGAAAGCGAGGTGTTATCAAATGTTTATTCATATAAAGAGGGTATTGAGCGGGTCCCTACCACCTTCCTGCCTATCTGAAGGCCCTTCACTCCACTCCCCAGCCCCACACCTAGCCCAGGAGGCTGACTTGAAAACTCCAATAGAAACAGATTCACCAGGCTGGGAAGTGGAGCAAGGGCTAGGGAGGAGGGTGAAAGTGAGGTGCTGGCATGAGCCTTGCACCTGGTTCTACCCTTAGGCCACAGTCTGAGGTAGGTAGGGCCAACAGGCAGACCCCCAAGGTGGGCTGGGGATCTGAGAAGAGAGAACACTTTCATCCCGCTTCCTACCAGGAGCATGGGGAGGTGCCTCGCCATAACAGCATCTGGAAGAGGCAGTGGGGCAAAAGATCTCCTGGACAGATCACCGGGCTGGTGGCAGCCTCATTGCATCCTCAGGAAGGGATCTGTGTGCCAGAGAGCTGCAATGGCAGGGATGAGGGGACGGAGCTGCTAGGCCTTCAATAGCCACCCTGGTCCAATTTCTCTCTGGTTTTGACTTGGACTAAATCACTTCAGCTGCTCCAAGATGCTCACTTGCTCCCTTTAGATCAAGGTTTCCCCAACCTCAGTTCTAGTAACATTTTGGGCCAGATAATTCTTTGCTGTGGGAGGCTGTCCTGTGAATTACAGGGTGTTCAGCAGCATCTCTAGCTGTACCCGCTAGATGTCAGTAGTCCCTCCCTAGTTGTGACAATCACAAACTTCTCCAGGCTGGGTGAGGTGGCTCATGCTTGTAATCCCACCATTTTGGGAGGCCAAAGTGAGTGGATCACTTAAGCCCAGGAGTTTGAGACCAGGCTGGGGAACATGACGAAACTCTGTCTCTGCAAAAAATGCAGAAAATCAGCCAGGCATGGTGGTGCGCATCTGTAGTCCCAGCTATTTGGGAGGCTGAGGTGACAGAATTACTGAAGACTGGGAGGTTGAGGCTGCAGTGAGCTCAGATCCCACCCATGCACTCTAGCCTGGGCGACGGGAGTGAGACCATCTCAAAATAAAAAAAAAGTCACCAGGCATTGTCAAACATCCCACTTGGAGGTAAAAATGCCCTGGGTTGAGAACCACTGCCTTAGATGATGAGAAACTCTACAGAACAAGTAAGTGCGCTTTTGTGCAAGCTCTGTCTATTATGTAGCCAGGGGGTTCCATAAAACCTCATTTTTTTTTTTTTTTTAGAGGAAGTCTCGCTCTTGTCGCCCAGGCTGGAGTGCAATGGCACCATCTAGGCTCACTGCAACTTCTGCCTCCCAGGTTCAAGCGATTCTCCTGTCTCAGCCATGCAAGTAGTTGGGATTAGAGGCACCTGCCACCACACCTGTCTAAGTGTTGTATTTTTAGTAGAGAAGGGGTTTCACCATGTTGGCTGGGCTGGTCTCAAACTCCTGACCTCAGGTGATCTGTCTGACCCAGCCTCCCAAAGTGCTGGGATTACAGGGGTGAGCAACTGTGCTTGGCCATTAAAGAAAAATCTCACAGTGTTTTAGAAAGTTGATGAATTTGTTTTGGGCTGCATTCAAAGCCATCCTGGGCGTAATAACAAGGTTTTGGACTAGGACAGGGAGCAGAACCTAAGCTGAACCCCAGAATTAGGTGAAACTTCATCCCTCTTCCCTCCGTGGAGCTAGGGCGTCCCCGTAACACCCTCTTCCCTCCGTGGAGCTAGGGCCGTCCCCGTAACACTCAGGGTGAGGAGGGGCGTAGCAGTTCAGAACACACACTTTTTGCAGGTGGGCCAGCTCCTCAGAGAAAAGGAAGAGGGCTGGGTTACACCTGCCTTGTTTCTCCTTCTGCATTCATCAATCAGATCAGCAGAGGCATGGAGAGAGACCAAGAGTTCTGCGCCAGCAGGGCTCTCTGCTCACGGAAGGAAGCATCAGGAGTGGCGAAGATGTGTCCTCAGCAAAGATGAATGAGCCACAAGACGGGAAGATTTGGATTCCTGATTTACCACTTGGAAGACAGCTGCCCTGGACAGCCACCAAGCGTGCGGCAGACTTGGTGTGAGCAAGAGATAGACTTTTCAGTGTTTAGCCACGGAGATCTTGCAGTTTGCTCGTTGCTGTAGCACAGCGTAGACCACCACGCTTTCTGTTTTCTCTCTTACACTTCATCCTCTAGTCTCTCTGCAGATTCCCTACTCTAGCCAGTTGCAAACTCGATTTTTCAACTTTCTCCATCAAAACAAATCTGAAAACTCCCTTTCAATTTTTTTTTTTTTTTTTGGAGACTGTAGGGTCTCATTCTGTTGCCCAGGCTGGAGTGCAGTGGTACGGTCTCAGCTCACTGCAACCTTTACCTCCAGGGTTCAAGCAATTCTTGTGCTTCAGTCTCCTGAGTAACTGGAATTACAGGCATGCACCCCATGCCTGGCTTATTTTATTATATTTTTAGTAGAGACGGGATTTCACCATGTTGGCCAGG